TGGTAACTTTGGACAAGTCAAATTAGTTAATAATTTAGAGGCTCTAGCTTGATATTCTCTTGGTTCACCTATAAAGGTTTTAGTAATTGCAAAAATTAATGTATTAACTGCATCTTGTACAGTTGCATGTATTTATTATTGACCTTCTTGTTTAACTATAATTTTAGTAGTATTTAATATTTTCTGTCTTTCTTCTAGAGAAAGATAATTATTCCACCATTCTTTTCATTGACCAGTAAATCATGAGATTAATATATGAGCTACAGCTTGATCAATGTTACCTTTAGACTTATGGACTGATGAGTTCGTAATCATTTCTTGTAGCATATTTGTTATTTGATACTCTGATAATCCATCTATATTTCATTCATTATTGATTCTCCATCATATCTAAGCCCGAGTCATTGCAGATTTATTTTCATATTGTATACCTAGGGGTGTCAACCTAGGATAAAAATTTCTAATTTTTGGTAATGGTGCATTATGAATTTTTTGAACAATAAAATTTTCACTTGTTCTTTTAATTGACTAATATCTATATCTATATCTGACTCTTTTTCTTCTTTAAATTGTTTATCTTTACTTAATACCTTAATACTAGAAGAAGAGAAAATATTCAAATATTTTAATATATTTTGTATTTTTTTCTAACATATTTTATGTTTTATCTAACTTAACTATTTGTTCTGCATGTATTTCATGGGGCTTAAATATTGAAACTTGAGGTTTAGTAATTGGCAAAGGTCTTTAAATAGAAGAAGTATAAAATATTGGAGTTTGAACCTCTAATCTATTTAATTGTAACATTATTGTATTTCATGAGGCTTAAATATTGAAACTTTTTTAAATAGAAGAAGTATAAAATATTGGAGTTTGAACCTCTAATCTATTTAATTGTAACATTATTGTATTTCATGAGGCTTAAATATTGAAACTTTCAGATTTAGTAATTGGCAATGGTATTTAAATAGAAGAAGTATAAAATATTGGAGTTTGAACCTCTAATCTATTTAATTGTAACATTATTGTATTAAGTATTTGATTTGTATAATGGTTTTGAAATTGAACATTTTTAATATCTTTTAATGTATGATTTTTCTTATTATCATCTACTGTATTTATCATCTTAAAAGGAGAACCTATAACTATCTGATGTTGATGACCAAATTTAATTTCTTCTAGGGAGGATGAACGGATGTAACAACATTATTAAATGTAGTTATATATTCCTTAGTTACCTTTTGATTAACTAAGACTTCTTGAAAAATGTATTATATATTGTTCTCAATAGAATAAATAGAAAACCACTGAAAGAAAGGAATAAATAGACTTCCTTAGTTACCTTTTTCTTTGTGCTTCAAAATAGCTTGAGGTGAAAATAATTGAATATTTTCATGCATTAGACTTAATGGAACAGATTGTTCGGTTTGTTTAATTGAATAATTAGAAAAAAATCAAAAGAACCAAGTTTACAAATAGTATTAACGCCATGTTTTGGGACAGACCAATTATGTAGTTGATTCTCTACATGTGCGATATTCATCTCTTGGGTATTCAGATTAGTAACACGAGAACTAGGGTTATTAATATTCAAAGACTTATTATTAGAAAGAAGATTTGGTAATCTACTCATTTTGCCAATTAATAATCGTAATTAGAGACTATTGATTATTGGGACCACCTTTGCCGGACCACCTATCACACGATTGACCAACGCTTACACCGGCTGACCAACAATAATCCAATAATTTCCTAATCATAATTAGTAATAGCTTAACTCGTAGATTTCTATATCTTATTCCTAATAAGTAATCCGTAAATAATTAATAACCTTATTCCTACAATATAAAAAGATTAGGCTCTGATACCAGAAGGGACTGATACCAGAAGGGACTTGACCGGAAATGTGTAGACATGGATGAAGAGATATATGTTTAGTTTTAATTATAGAGTAAGAATAATTGCTAAATTGAATTCCAAATTTTCAGTTTTTCAACTTTTAGAAACTGAATCAAAATTAATAATTTTTCAAAAATACGTCTTCCAATTGATTTTAATTAATTTAGGCAAATGGCAATTATGGAACCCTTATTAAGTATTTGATTTATTATATAAAAGTAGTTTTCAGGCTAATTTAATAAATGAGTTGAATTTGAGCTAATTGACTCGTTTAAATTCGTAATCAAAATTTGAGGTAATTTGTGAATAATTTAATTATATATAGATATTTGCATTTTGATTTTCAATTTTTAAGCATAACTACACATTTTTTAAACAAATTGTTTAAAAAAAAAAATCAACAGTGAAAATAATTATAAAATTTTGTAGGCCATTGATTGAAAGGGTAGTGGCCTGTGAGAATTTCAAGCATTGGGATTGGGTTATATGACGTGATTGGAAGAGTACCTTTCAACAGCAACTAAAAGAAAAGTAGATTCAAATAATTAGAATGGTCAAGGTCTAACTTAATGAAAGATCAAAAGAACGTCAGTTGAATTGAACTAAAAGGTCTGCCACTTGACCGCACTTTGATATAAAAATGCATATATGCAGCTTCCTGGAAAGCACATATTTAGTTAGTGCTAGTGTAGCAGTGTTGTTTCTTTTCCTTGGTCAACAACAAAAGATTGCAGTTGGGAAGGGAAAAAAAAAAAAAAAAAAAAGCCGCTTCCTGGCAAGCACATGATTTAGTTAGTGGGGGCTTATGCTGAGTGCAGTGTTGTTTCTTTTTTCCGTTGGTCAAACTTAATCATGAAAGATTGCAGTTGGGAAGTGGAATAGAAAGAAAATAAAAAAAGAAAAAAGCAAACCGGTAAGGAAGCATTTTACGATTGTTTTAATTAGGGTAAATTCAATATATACGGGGAATTTCTCTTTTTTCAAAATCAAAAAAAGATGATGAGCATTTCGTATGTAAACTTTGGTCGCCAATCCTTTAAAAATAATCCAAACATAGATATTTTGGTCCCTAACTTCTGTCTTTTCTGTTTCCTATTGTGTTTGGGGGTGTGTCATAATCTCGGTGTCTTTTTTTATTTTTGTGATCAAAAAAAAAAAAAAAAAAAAAGCCAAACGGTAAGAGCATTTACGATTTTAATTATAAATTCATATTTGAATTTCTCTTTTCAAAATAAAAAAAAATGAGCATTCGTAGTAACTTGTCGCCATCTCAAAAATAATCCAAAATAGATATTTTTCCCAACTTCTGTACTTGTTTCCTATGTGCTTGGTCATACCTCTTTTTTTATTTGTACAAAGAAGACAATTTTCATTATGAGAAAGAAAACTACAAGCTATTTGTTATCCTACAATCATTATAAGTTGTTTTTTTAATGACGGTTTACTTTCGCTAATCCATATGATTCTTAGTAATCATATTTCTGATTTAATTAAAAACTAACTATTTTATAAATAATATTGAACTTATAAATTTAAATTCTGAGTTTGAATCTCAATTAGAGCCGAATTTTATTCAAAATGATATTTATATCAAGACAAAAAAAATTTAAAAAAAAAAAAAGCTTGGAAGTATAATTTTAATTATTAAATTACTCAATAAATAATTAGTGACTATTAATGGTTGACTTAAAAGCTTGGAAGTATTGTTTAACAAGAGGTTGTGTATAGAGTCTAAATTCAATAAATGTTCTTTGCATGTCGCTTTATAAGTATGAAAAATCTAAAGACAAGACTTGTAAATCTGAAAATTCTAACAATCAAAAAGCTTTTATTTTCAAACTAATGATGTGACATATAATATAATCATTAAATTCAATTATAGTATCCTTTTATAAAATTTAAATTTTTTTTGATCATCGACGTCAATTCTTACTCTCTTTAAGAGTTCAGGAACAAGACTTTGGACTTGAATTTTATAATTTATAAACTTCACTAATTTAATATGGCAAAAGAGTTTATTTCTACTTTGCAACTCATTATAATTTATAAAATTTTAACTAATTAAATGAGAAATATGGAAGAAATATTTGAAAAATTATTGTAAAAAATGAGGATCCCATAAAATTAAAGTGATAAACCGATGTATTTCGCCATTTAAATTCATAAATTTAAAACAAGGCGTTTAAATTTGTTAGAAAATAACATCTCAAGTTGCAAATCAATTTTTTAAAATAATAATTTCCATTAAAAATTCTTTTAAAATAATTAACGGTTAAGTAATATTTATAAGCCCACATATATCTCAAATATAATAATGGTAATTGAACTTTAATTTCAAAATAATTAGGTCGGCTATTTGAATTATTTGCCTTCTTTCTAATCTCTTATAACTAAATTCAGATAAATATCAAAATATTGTAAATATTTTATGAAAAAAACTCTCTATACACATATAATATCTCTAATTTAAATAATATTTTAATAGATGATAAAGCAATTAAAAAATCATGTGATCATTACTAAATCTTTCGAATTTAATTAAAAGTATACAAAATGTATTTGGAAGAAAAAAAATGCCACGTATTATTATTATAAATTATAAAATATGAAAACCTTGAATGGAGTAGAGTAGTGAACAATCTTTCCTTCTTTTGCCAATATTATCCAATTCCAACTATTACCATACAAATAATAGAAATTCTACATTTTTTTAATCAAAACTCCATCAACTTAACATACTCAACTAAGTAAAGGCACAAAACACAGAATATGCCACATTAAATTAGATTCCACCATTTTCATAATTATTTTAATTATTTTAATTTAATTAATGAAATCCTGGATTTAATTAATTTAATTTAATTAGAGGCAATACGGAGGAAATTTCGTACACAAATAACATAATCATTAGTTTACCGTATAAGGAGATCCACTGTTGGCTGACACATATTTCCTTCCGTAAAGGTCACCTCTACGTGCTTCCCATTTCTGATAAAGCCACAAAATAATGCACAGTGTGACGGTTGTGTCTTTACGTGGCGGAATGTGATTCGCTTTGCTTATGCGGAGTGTGGTTATTGTGTTGTCTCACAAAAAGGAAAAAGAAAAAGAAAAAGAAAAATCCAAAGGGCGAGAGAGAGAGAGAGAGACAGAGAAAGGTATGAGCAGTTGAATCGCTCTGTCCTCCTCTTTATTTATACCACTATTCAATTAGTAGATCTGATTGCTAATTAGTTTCTGATAAATCCCTAAAATCGAACGCTGATTTTCATTTCTATTAACAGAAATAAACAGATAGATAAACAGATCGCTGGTCTGGAAGTAGGTGAGAAACTGAGAGAGTGTGAGATTGATAAAGAGGATCGCTTTCTCTCGAGTACTCTCTCAAATCACTGGTAAGTGAAACCCTAATTTAATGGTTTTGATTAATTTCGTTCCTTTTTGTTTTGTTTTTTTCAATTTCAGAAAATGAAAGGAAATCAAATCAATTTGTTTTGAATTGGTTAATTTTCTCTCTTCCAGAAGGAGATTATAGTTTTTTTTTTTTTTTTTTTTTTTTTTTCTTATTTTTTTTTGTTTTTAAAGTGTTTCTTTATACAGTTCTGTGAATTTCCGAAGCCAGAATCGTGGATTCTGTTTTGTGTGATTCGTTCCAGGCTTGCTCCAATTAAATCGGAGAATTTTGTTTAATTGAGATTGGAGTTCGAATGGGGAAAGGAGAGCGCCGAGGATATGGTAAAAGGGGAAAAATTGGTGTAAGAATAGCACAGGATAAGAAATCTTTTTTTTTTTTTTTTTTTTTTTAAAGTGTTATCTTTTATAAGTTCTGTGAATTTCCGAAGCCAGATCGTGATTCTGTTTTGTGTGATTCGTTTCAGGCTTGCTCCAATTATCGGAGAATTTTGTTTAATTGAGATTGAGTTCGATGGGGAAAGGAGGCGAGGATTATGGTAAAAGGGAAAAAATTGGTGTAGAATCGCAAGATAAAGAATTGTTCCCTGCTTGGTCGAGAGATGCTAGAGAATGTGAAGAGCACTACCAAGTGAGACGTGAGTTTGGATTATCGGTTGCAGAAGTAGAGAAGAGGAGACAGATCTATGGATATAATGAATTGGAGAAGCATGAGGGTGTATCGATTTTTAAGCTAATATTGGAGCAATTTAGTGACACCTTAGTAAGGATTTTATTAGCTGCTGCTATAATATCATTTGTTTTGGCTTGGTATGATGGTGATGAAGGAGGGGAGATGGGGATTACAGCGTTTGTGGAACCATTGGTCATTTTCTTGATCTTGATTGTGAATGCTGTCGTGGGTATTTGGCAAGAGAGCAATGCTGAGAAAGCATTAGAAGCCTTGAAGGAAATCCAATCGGAGCAAGCTAAAGTGATAAGAGATGGCAAGTTGTTGTCAAATTTGCCTGCAAAAGAACTTGTTCCTGGAGATATCGTGGAGTTAACAGTGGGTGATAAAGTGCCTGCTGATATGCGAGTTTTGAGCTTGATTAGCTCCACAGTTAGGGTTGAGCAAGGTTCTTTGACAGGTGAGAGTGAAGCTGTTAGCAAGACTGCTAAGGCTGTTGCTGAAAATACAGATATACAAGGAAAAAAATGTATGGTTTTTGCAGGAACTACAGTGGTGAATGGACATTGCATATGCTTGGTTACACAAACGGGAATGAACACTGAGATTGGAAAGGTGCACTCACAGATTCAAGAAGCCTCGCAAAACGAGGATGATACCCCATTGAAGAAGAAATTAAATGAGTTTGGAGAGCTTCTAACTTTGATAATTGGAGTTATTTGTGCATTGGTTTGGCTGATTAATGTGAAATACTTCCTTACATGGGAATATGTTGATGGTTGGCCAAAGAATTTCAAGTTCTCATTTGAGAAGTGCACATATTACTTTGAGATTGCTGTGGCATTGGCTGTGGCTGCTATACCAGAAGGGTTGCCTGCAGTCATTACTACGTGTTTGGCACTTGGAACTCGAAAGATGGCTCAAAAGAATGCACTGGTTAGAAAGTTGCCCAGTGTCGAGACTCTAGGGTGTACAACAGTGATCTGTTCTGATAAAACAGGGACTCTAACTACCAATCAGATGGCTGTCTCGAAGCTAGTGGCTATGGGTTCCAGGATTGGTACTCTTCGATCTTTCAATGTGGAAGGGACTACCTACAACCCTTTTGATGGGAAAATAGAAGACTGGCCAGTGGGTCGAATGGACTCCAACCTTCAGATGATTGCAAAGGTTGCTGCAGTTTGCAATGATGCAGGTGTTGAGCAATCTGGTAATCATTATATTGCCAATGGAATTCCTACTGAAGCTGCATTAAAGGTAACATGACGTTCAACTTTTTCCTCTGAATTATAGTGCCAGAAGTTAAGTAGAGCAGTGCTGAAACTTGAGCATAGTAAGATGTCTGGAATGCTAATTTCTTGGTTTCCAGTAGCATTTTTTGCATTTCAATTTTGTCCTAATAGATGTTTGGAATGCTGAGTGATTTCTATATTTCCTTCCTCTTCTACTCTGTCTCCATGTTTGAGTTTTTTTATTTTGAAGGTTCTGTATATGAGTTTTTGTATGCATATTGTTTCTTACGAACATTTTCTGGCAACTACTGTTTGCTCATGAGATATGGCTTGACAACTTGTTTGCTAAAGAAGTTATGTGACATAAATTTCTCATTGATAGCCACCCTTTTCTGTGCCAGGTTCTTGTTGAAAAAATGGGATTTCCTGGTGGACTTGATGAATCATCTTCAGGTCATGGGGATATTATGCGTAAGACCAGATTCTTACAACTTGTTTTACCTTTTTCTTTCATTGACCTTTTAGCAAGCTCTAAAAGGTTTGTCCCCATGTTTTTCTGCCGCTTTAGGTTGCTGTCAATTATGGAATAAAATGGAACAGCGCATTGCAACTCTTGAGTTTGATCGAGATCGGAAATCCATGGGGGTTATTGTTAATTCCAGTTCAGGCAAAAAAGCACTGCTAGTGAAGGTAACCTGTGCCACTTTCTCTTACTTATCTCAATGTTGCAGGCTATTCATATGGTTCACCCAGATGGTCAAAAATTGCATTTACCAATAACATAAACTAAATCACCTTACCTTCCTCTGCCCTCTCTACCTCTTTGTCTCTGTGCCTGTATATTGTTCTTGCGAATTATAACCTTTTCTAGGAAAACCTGGCATAGTTAGGAACTTTTTGCTTTTAACCTCAATGTTCCTCTTCTAAAATTATCTTCAAGAAAGATACTTTATGTATTGTGCTTGAAAAAATTATAAAAGGATCTAAAGACTGCTAGACACATGGATGGTTTCCTAAAATCATAAAAAGATGACATGGACTTTTTTTTTTTTTGTGCAGTAGCACATCCTATTACCTCATTTCTTGTCATTTTTGTATTTTTCTAACAGTTATTCTCTCCATTTCCTACTCAAAGTTCATTCAGAGGGTCAACAGTGCACTTCTGGATGCTATTCATCATACTACTTTTGGTGTCCTGTGCTCAATAATATTCTATTGTAACGCAAGATTCGCGCTGAATCTGTTGTGTCTATAAACTTTCCAATTAATTTTTCTTGCCCTTTTACTTTCCTGTAAGGGAAGTCTGCCCATTTCGATTTGTTGTTGTTGTAACTTGTGGCAATTTAACATGGATGGCCTTCTACTGCTTTCAGATTTTCTGCCTCTTCTTTTGATGTTGTTTTGGTTTGTTATGGTCATGGGACTGAGAAATGGTTTTATTAATGTGTCAGGGTGCAGTAGAAAACATATTGGAGAGAAGCTCACACGTTCAGTTGCTTGATGGCTCAGTTGTGGAATTGGATCAATATTCAAGAGAGCTTATTTTACAAAGCCTTCATGACATGTCAACGAGTGCATTACGTTGTTTAGGCTTTGCTTACAAAGCAGACCTTCCAAGATTTGAAACATATAATGGTGATGAGGACCACCCAGCTCATGAGCTTTTACTTAATCCATCAAATTATGCTTCAATTGAGAGTGAACTCATTTTTGTTGGCTTAGTTGGGCTGAGGGTAAGTTGGTCCTGCAATTTTCTTTATTTCTTTATGTTTGTTTATTTGTTTAGCTTCATGGGAAGTTCATCTTTTTCATTCTCATGGCATTTATCCTTGTTATTTTCATATCTTGAAAGGATCCTCCTCGAAAAGAGGTTCGACAAGCCATTGAGGACTGCAAAGAAGCTGGAATCCGTGTCATTGTCATCACAGGAGACAACAAGGGTACAGCAGAAGCTATTTGCCGTGAAATAGGTGTATTCGGACCTTATGATGATATCAGTTCAAGAAGCATGACCGGAAAAGAATTCATGGAGCATCCTGATCAAAAAAGTCATTTAAAACAAGATGCAGGGCTTTTGTTCTCTAGGGCTGAACCAAGGCATAAACAAGAGATAGTGAGGCTGCTTAAAGAGGAGGGTGAAGTTGTGGCTATGACAGGAGATGGAGTGAATGATGCTCCTGCCTTGAAATTGGCTGATATTGGAATAGCTATGGGCATTGCTGGGACAGAGGTATGTTGAATTTCATGTATAGATTGTAATCCATTTTTTATTCAGTTAATAAATATGTATGCAATACATATTGGTATTTGCATTTTTGTTCTTGAGCTACTACTCGGTGTTGCAAAGAAGGTAACGCATGGTGTATAATTATCAAATTTTTACTCTACAGGTGCATGCATACATTGCATGACTAAGCCATTTCAGTTGACTTTTCTAAAGTATGTCAATTAATAACGCATTCTTTCTCATTCTACATGCTGAACATTATTGAACTTAATTCTTATTGCAGGTTGCAAAAGAAGCATCTGACATGGTGCTAGCCGATGATAATTTTAGCACTATAGTTGCTGCTGTTGGTGAAGGCAGGTCCATCTACAACAACATGAAGGCATTTATCAGGTTTGATAATTTTTCACTTGGACCAATTGGCATTTGGTATGGTTATTTATCTGCACTGGCATGCCTGATGTATGTGGAATGACAAAAAGTTGGGGAATTAAAAAGGATTGGCCATTAGGTTGCCCAAACCTTGATTTTCTGATGCATGTGATGGGGCTTACGACAGTTGAATTGAGATTTAAGAATGATCATAATACCAGAATGAGGCTCCAATTTGGTTAAAAACCTGAGGGATTATAAAATAAGAATATTATTTACATTTTAAGATTTTTGAACTTTGCTGCATGCAGTATAACTTGCTTGGGTGAAATTATGGCTAGCAATAGTCGGGTTTCCCAATTAATTTCATTATCCCTTGTTAATTAGCCAACATAGGCCTTGTGCAGTCTTGCATTCAAATTTATATTTAAACAGAAATGTTGTTTTGCCTTTTGATGTGCACATGCAACATATATCATGGTTTTGTTTTATGTCTTATTGGTGGATTTTGTGACTTGATGTGTATCTTTCGTTGGATATGTTTGTGGTGTGATGGTGTACTGAATTGGCAACTTGTTTATGCGTTTAGTTCCAAGTACCATTTTAGATTCCTTTCTCAAGTTTTTCTCTTTAAATGATGATTCTAGGTACATGATCTCCTCAAACATTGGCGAGGTTGCCTCTATATTTTTGACAGCTGCTTTGGGTATTCCAGAAGGGATGATTCCTGTTCAGCTTCTCTGGGTTAATCTTGTAACTGATGGACCACCAGCAACAGCTTTAGGATTCAATCCTCCAGACAAAGATGTAATGAAGAAACGTCCCAGAAAGAGTGACGACTCATTGATAACTCCTTGGATTTTATTCCGCTACCTGGTAAAAGAACTTAAACTGTTTCTTTTTATAAAACAAAAGTATTTTCTTGGTAGTTGGATTTGATGTGATCTGCCAAAATTTTTTGTTAAGCTTGATCTTTATTCTATGTTAGGTAATTGGATCCTATGTTGGGCTAGCAACAGTTGGTGTATTTATCATATGGTACACACACCACTCCTTCATGTTCATTGACCTCAGCCAGGATGGTCATACACTGGTCACTTACTCTCAACTCGCCAACTGGGATCAATGCGGTACCTGGGAACGTTTTTCAGTGTCACCCTTTACTGCTGGGGCTCAAACATTCAATTTTGATGATAATCCTTGTGATTACTTCCGCAGTGGAAAAATTAAGGCTTCAACTCTTTCACTCTCTGTGTTGGTTGCTATTGAGATGTTCAATTCCCTGAATGCTCTCTCTGAGGATGGTAGCCTCCTTAGCATGCCACCATGGGTCAATCCATGGCTTCTACTGGCAATGTTCATTTCATTCGGATTGCACTTTTTGATCCTTTATGTACCATTCCTCGCTCAAGTATTCGGAATTGTTCCTCTCAGCCTGAATGAGTGGCTTCTGGTGCTGGCTGTTGCTTTCCCTGTTATTCTAATCGATGAGGTTCTCAAATTAATTGGTAGATGTACTAGTGGAGTCCGGAGTTCTGGATCAAGGAGACATTCGAAGCGCAAGGAAGAATAAGCCCCATACTAAGAAGGCACGGGATGATAAAAAGTATCTGACGGTTGTTTGGTTGGACTTTTTTAATTTTAGTCCTGCCCTCTAATCTGGCCAAGCCTCCTAATTTTCGAAAATGAGGAGTTGTTTTGGACATTGAAGATTTTGCATTAGATTTATTAGACAAACTGTATTTACACTGAAACACAGAAATTTATTGTTTCAAATAGTTTGTCCAACTTTCTCATTTTCCGTATTTCAATTCCATTCATTGTTGTCAATTAGTATCTTATATAGGGTGAAGAATTGGAAAACAGAAGAGGAAATTTCTGCATTCTTTCACTTCACTTCACTTCACTGGGACTTGTTTATTGTTTCCTTCCTAGTGGGATTACCTAAATGCTAACGATAACATTTAATGAAATTTCTATCCAATTCCCTTAATCAATAATTAAGGTTTAAAGTTGATAATGGAGTTAAGGAATTTACATTTTAATCACCCCTTTAATTTCCATTTCATATGATTATATTTTACATATCATATTTATCCTTATCTTTTATCATTTAGTTATTCTATTTTTCTCTTTCCTTTAATAAAAAAAAAAAAACAGTTATGTTAGTCTTTCACTAATTATTCATTTTATTGCTTTATATTGGATTTTGTACATTAAATAAACAAATAAAAATTTTAGCCTGCTGCCCTATTCCATTGTTTGCATAAACTTTAAACCATAGATAAAAATCAACAAAATAACAATTAACAACCACCAGGTCCACTACCACCACAGAAACCTTAGAAAGCAAAGAATAAAGAAAATGGAAATAGGAATAAGGATTTTTTTTTTGTCTTTTCCTTTTTTGTTTGGAAAGAAAATTGTTACAAGCTAGATGTTATCATGTTACAAGCTTCATTCATTTCCCTTTCAAGTTATAAGAGAGAAAGTTTTGAGGATAGATTCAGAGAAATGATGATAAATATTTGTTAATGCAAATACTCATTTAAAATAATCTGTTGATGGCTAAAGTCCTGTTTGTTTTAACTTAAAATTGAACCCAAAAACAAAATTCAGAAAATAATGCAACTAATTTCAGTAAAATTGCAATTCATAGAATGAATTACAAAGACAGATACTCCATAGTACTGACATAAACTCAGATTCCCAAACACACCAATCTAATTACATAGAAACAACATTCAAATTAACAATTACAAAAACCTAACCCTAACCCTAAACACCTTAACAACCACCGTCGTCTCCACCGCCACTGCCACCACCATTGTCACTTCTAATTCTTGACAGCAAGACTTCTCCGATCTCCAACACCACAAACCAAGACTCCCTTCTTACCCTCCAAATCCATAAAGAGTCCTTCCTTGCCTCTTCAAAGCATAGACCACATCCATGGCGGTCACCGTCTTTCTCCTAGCATGCTCAGTGTATGTCACAGCATCACGAATCACATTCTCCAAGAAGATCTTGAGTACTCCACGAGTTTCTTCGTAGATCAATCCACTGATTCTTTTCACTCCACCTCTTCGAGCCAACCGGCGAATCGCCGGCTTTGTGATTCCCTGAATGTTATCACGGAGAACTTTCCGATGACGCTTTGCTCCTCCTTTGCCCAGCCCCTTTCCGCCCTTTCCACGGCCTGACATCTTTTAACCGATCGAGATTTACACTGCAACCTGTGAATAAAGCTAAAGAGAGATCGAATAGTGTGAGTTTCGTTTTGATGATTTGGGTTTTCAGGATATTTATAGACAGAGAGATGGGAAATTAGTGTCAGTATTGATCCTTGTGATTGATCTAAAGAATGGTTTGGATCGTTGATTAAGTTGATTGGACGGTTTAAGATTGGAGAGGTTGGTGTGTTGAGGATCGATAACGTGGATGGTGCATGCCGTGAGGTCCTTTTGATTTTTTGGAACGGGGAAAAACACGCGCGGGCTGGTTTGTGGGATTTGGCGGTACTGAAAATTTTAGCAAATTTTACAAAATTCGAATTATTATTCAGTAAGATGGTTTTGATTTTTGGAGCGTGTTGTTTTGTGGGCTGGGCCCCGGGCCTAAAGCATAATATAATGGGTCCAATCAATGGAATGTAAAAACTTTCTCCAAACTCAAATCAACTCTTTCCTTTTCTTTTCTTTTTTTTTTTTTTTCTTCTTTTCGGTGCACTCGTTGAAATATAAATCTTCCTATTTGAAGGATTTTAAATACGTTTTTTTTCACCTCCAAAAATATAAAAAATATTACCAATAAGATGTTTTAAATTCAAATCTTTAAGTTTTCACCAATTTAATATACTAGCAGAAAAACTATTATCTTTATATATTTACTATATTATTAAGATATGGGCTCAATTTACATTAAATACAAGCCGATTTTGTAATGTGAATTTCAAATATTGAAACAAATATCAAACTATGTTACATAAATTTAGAATATATTTAGCATTGAAGTTAAAATTTAATTTTTCTTTTAAATTGTTTGCAGTCCCTGAGGTTTGATCTTTTTCTACTTTATCCTTTTTTTTTTAGAAATATATTATAATGTTTTATATTTTTGACCTTTTAAATTATTTAATCTGCGAGTTAGAAAAATGTCATTTTTTAGCTAAATTTTTTATAAAAATAGAAAAATTGTCCATTGACATGTATCTTAATTAAAGCAAAAATAAATAAATAAATAAATAAATAAAAGACAACGGTAACCAAGCAAAAAATTTCGTCCATGGATTCTCCATCCACCTTCCATAATGCCTCATTTTACCTTTGAAATTAACCCATCTTATGAACCGTTTTTTCTTTTTGGGACATTGGAAGAGGGAGATTCGAAACATGTATAATAACGCTTCAAATGAATTATTAGATTTGGAACCGTCACCAAACTTGCTTACTCGAGCCAAGCGACGTAGTAGAAAAGAAACAAAGAAGGAATTTGAGAATCAAAGTATGATTCACTTTGTTGTTGAGCTAAATTGAAGAAAGCAAATGAATGAATATATCTCCCTTCTCTTATCTCTAAATGCTTGATTCTTATATTCAAAGAGCTTATTTATTTATTTATTTATTTATTAATTTGTATCTTATTTAATTTTCAGTATAGGGAGACCGAGTTTCGGTTATAGGAGGTGCCATTGATCTTGTGAAGATGATGATATTGTAGTGGTTGTTAAGTAGATTTCAAGCATTTCGAATCTCAAAAAGAAGATGACGATGATGATGATGAACTCATTTGATAACATTGAGATAAAAAAAGAATCTTACAGATAAATAGTTTTGAGATCATAATCAGAAAAATTAAATTCTTTTTTATTGGTTAGCAAAACCAATACAGGTAATAACCAAATTGAGCGGCTTTTTCCATGTTCCATAACTTTACCTTTTAAGCCAAAGTTCATCCATTCTACCAGCAATCTGAGCTTCTTCAACTCGCGGAAAGGACGGAATAAAAAGACAAACCAGAACTAAGTGACAATTCTCCCTTCTTTTTTTTTTTTTTTTTTTGAAGTTTGTTTGAAGTACAATTATATCTATTGAAACAGAACATTAGCTCAACTCCTCTCTGGTTTAATCTGTTTGAAAAGAGTTAATTTAAAATCGAAAACCCAAAAGAAAAATTCAGAAAAAAACGAACCAAATTTCATTTAAAAAATTGGCAATTCCACAGAATTGAATTACAAAAGACAGATACTTCTCGGTATCTCTAAAATAAAAAACTCAGATTCCCAAAAACCAATTCTAATTACAAGGATAAAACACCCATTCAAATTAACCAATTTTGATAAGCCTAAACACCTAACCTAACCCTAAAAAACAGTTTAACAACCTTTCGTTCTTTTTTTTTTTTTTTTGTTGAAGTACAATTATATCTATTGAACAGAACATAGCTCAACTCCTCTCTGTTTAATCTGTGAAAAGAGTTAATTTAAATCGAAAACAAAAGAAAAATTCAGAAAAAAACGAACCAAATTTCATTAAAAAATGCAATTCACAGAATGAATTACAAAGACAGATACTTCTCGGTATCTCTAAAATAAACTCAGATTCCCAAACCAATCTAATTACAGATAACACCATTCAAATTAACAATTTGATAAGCCTAACACCTAACCCTAACCCTAAAACAGTTTAACAACCTTCGTCTCCACCGCCACCGCTATCGCTATCATCACTTCTTTAATTCTTGACAGCAAGACTTGTCCGATCTCCAACGAACAAACCAAAATCACCTTCTTAACCTCCAAATCCATAAAGAGTCCTTCCTTGCCTCTTCAAAGCATAAACCACATCCATGGCAGTCACCGTCTTTCTCCTAGCATGCTCAGTGTATGTCACAGCATCACGAATCACATTCTCCAAGAAGATCTTGAGTACTCCACGAGTTTCTTCGTAGATCAATCCACTGATTCTCTTCACCCCACCTCTTCGAGCCAATCGACGAATCGCCGGCTTCGTGATTCCCTGAATGTTATCACGGAGAACTTTCCGATGACGCTTTGCTCCTCCTTTGCCCAGCCCCTTTCCGCCCTTTCCACGGCCTGACATCCTCTACCGATCGAAATTTAACACTGAAATCCGTAAATAAGGGGAAACGGAGAAAGAGAGAGAACTTGTGTGATTGCTGGTGATTTGGGTTTTTAGGAGATTTATAGAACAGAGATGGGAAATTAGTGTCAGTGTCGATCCTGGCGACTGGTATAAAAACTGATTTTGGATCGTCGATTATTCAATGGACGGTATAAGATTAGACATGTTGGTGCGTTGAGGATCGATGACGTGGATGATGCGAGCAATGTGGTGGTTTTGAGTCTTGGAACGGGGCAAAACACGCGCGGGCTGGTTTGTGGGATTTGGCGGTACTGAAAATTTTAGCAAATTTTCCAAAATTGGAATAATTATTTTAGTAACATCGCGCTTTTGTTTTATTCCCCCTTAACCTAAGTAGAATAAAAATGTTAAAAGTAGATTAAACCATAACATTGAAAGTACTCAAATTAATTTAATTTATGAGTGTGATTTAGTTTGATATGAGAAAAAAAAAAGATTTTAATCTGAATTTTTTTCCGGCTGCAATAAAATTAAAAAATATATTTACGTAATTTTTCAATTTTATATTTAATTTTCATTTTCCAATTCTTCATTAGGGTATTAATTAAATATTTTGTTTTTTTTTATAAATTAATTAAATAATTTGTAATCAAATATTAATACTATTATCCATATTCTTTTTATATTTGTCAAACTAATCATATTTTCATAATATGTGAGGTCCTATTAGCTTGGATTAGTACTTTGATAAAATAAAATTTTCCTAGACGTTATAAATTAATGAAACAAATTTATTTATTGATAGAACAAAATAAAGAAAATATATAAAAGATCATGACTTAACCCATATATAATTTATAAGTAATGTGTATTTTTCATACAACATTTGGACTTTTTATGTAATAATAATATAATTTACTTAAATAATTTGAAACTATGGTTTAATTGTCATCTGATATATACTAACCATTGTAAAGAAAAATTTTATCCAAATTGAATTGTGAATTATTTTAAACTCCAATATATATATATAGGTGATTTTGATCTCAAAACGCTAAACCAAATCAATAATTTCATTTTTCAAAATTTATAAACCGAACTAAATCATCAACTTTTTTTAAATTACTTCACTCAAAAAAAAAAAAATTTTAAATTACAAATTTAGATTAGATAAACATCCAACTTAAGCAAAGTTTAATGGCTCCAATCAACTCTTCTTTTTTGTAGTATTTTTAGTCTAAGTTATTATTGAAATTTCAAAATTTTAATATTATTATTTGAAAGGTCTTAAAAATATATGTGCTTTTGCTTCACTTAAAAAAGTTTAAAGTATTATTTCACATCCTCTAATACATTATTTAAATGAACTTCTCTTTGCGATAAATTAAGAAATGAATTCACATAATGGAATTTTTTATTAGACTTATATTTAAAATTACTATAAAAAAGGTGATTGTTTATACTAATTATAATTTATAACTTATAAGACATGGGCTCTCTTTACATTAAGAACAAGCTGATTTTTATGATATGCATATCATTCTTTGAAATAAGTACCAAATTATATTATATAAATTTGAAATGTATTTACTATTTAGCATTGAAATTAAAATTTAATTTAATTATTCTAAGTTGGGAACTAAGTTGAGGTCCTAGTTGCATATTGAGGACTGGATTGGACATTGGGTCCATAAACCAGAGTTGTCCTTTCAACCCTAACTCCAGGCCTGGCCCGAAACCAAAAGATCTTAAAGTTTGGGAAAGCCCGGTCCATCAACCCCTATAACTGCAAGCTAGGAAGGTTGCAGAAACCAGTTAAGAAAACGGCGCCATGACTTCAAATTTCCATTCCGTTAAAATTTAACTACACTTCTTAAACCCTAGAAAATCCCCTTTCTCACTTTCTCTGCCCAATTATGGGGTTCTTCGACCTCAACATCCCGTATGAGGCCTCCAATTCCTCAAAAGACACGCGCGAAAAGATAGTAAGAAAAACCATGGAGCTAGGCTATACTGGAATCGCTTACAATCGCACGATCAAGGGCGTGATGTCCGATCGGGACAGTTGCTCTATTTCGCCTTTCTCTTTTAATACTCTCTTAAATGTTCCTCCTTCACTTGCATACAACATCTTCTCCGTTAATTTTCACCGCGACCTTCTCGGTATTCCACGCTCCTCACCTTTTCGTCAGTACACGCGCTTGACTGTCTGTGTTGATAGTCCCGCTCAGTGTCAGGCGCTTAATGGTGGCAATCCAATTTTGAAGAGTTATGATTTGATTGCTGTTAGGCCTCTTAATCAGAGCGCTTTTGATATTGCTTGTGAGAAATTAGAGGTTTATAGTTATTTGTTTATGGATTTGAATTAATTTAATTAAAGCTTAATTTGTCATTTGTTTAATAAATTATGATTATGCAGGTCGATATAATTGCTATTGATTTCTCAAAGAAGTTGCCATTTAGATTGAAGCTGCCAATGGTTAAAGCTGCTATGGAAGTTTGTTTTGATATCCATCTTCATTTTGATTTTGAATTTTCTTTTTAGTGGTTTTGTTATTAAGTTTTTTGGCTTTGTTGATTTGCAGCGTGGGGTTTACTTTGAAATTACATACTCTGATCTTATTGTGAGTGTTGAAATCAGAAGCCAAATGATATCAAATGCTAAGGTCAGATTTGAGATAGTTAGATCTGTGAAATCATCTATACATGTTCTGCTAATAATTGCATTGAGGGCTTCGATGTCCTTGCTATTTGCTAGTTTTGAAAAGTTGTGACTTTGTAATTTCTAATATCTCTCTTTCTATTTTTTGGTTTCAAAGAATTGGCTTGGGATTTTAATTATTCATATACCTAGCTTTAAAACAACTGTTTATTGTGTGAGAACTTTGTAGAGGACTCTTAGATAAGTATGAACTTGCAATGGTTGTTGTTTATAAAAAGTAAACTTGCAAATCTTATTTGCTGGTTTTTATGGAGAAATTAGAAAGAATTTTAGGAAAATAATTATAGCAAAGTTTGACTTAAAATTCTTAATAGTATAATGTTTTAAATGTGACTGCTTTAGGCCTTTTTTCCAGCTTCTAAATATTCCTTTGTTTTTAAGGGGTTTGGGTTAAATTTATGGTGAAGGTGTATATTGGGAACAGTTCTTTGGTAAGTGTAAACCAGAAAAGTGAATATCTGACTTCTCGCCTTATATGCTAGAAATGGTCACGTTGTTCGTCTTGATTCTTGAAGTACATTGCTATACATATTTTTTGGATGAGATAGGGTGGAGTAAAGTGTACTAAAAGATTACATTGAAAGGCTAGGTGATGCCTGTCTTAATATATAATCCAAACGTGGATAGGTTGCAGGATGCAGCTTGTAAAACTAATTACCATGCACATTGCAGCATGTAGAGCATTGTAAAATGTTGGTTTGTTTAGCATTAGTTTATTTTTGTTTATTTATTGCTTGAAAGATGTAATGAATAAATAGAGTTTGTAGCCAGGAGATTAAACATCTCTTGGTGAGCTTTTGTCAGGGATGTTAATTTTATTGAGCCAGAAGGCTTCCATGTGTTACATTGTGGTTTAATGCGTCTAAAAAACTAAAGGAGGTGTATGCTTTAAAACTTTGGTCTATTTACTAGATTCTATCCTTCAAATTTGAGGCATGACCTACCGTTGAAGGATCTTGAATTTAAACAAATAGTTTTGGATGGGAGATCTTAAATCTTTACCTTTTATGCTTGTTGGCTTTTGCAGTTGATCTTGTATAACATGGTAATAGGGATTGTTAAAGTCAGGAAAATATAAATTTTGATCTATTTATCTATTTCGCAAATATAAATATATGGATTGTGCTAAACATTCGAAATTCATTTTCATCTTTAGAAAAAAAGATGAAAATTAATATAAATCCAATGGATTTATATTTTATTCTTTCGTAAACCAATTGCGAAATCCTGAGTCTCAATAGAATTTTACGGATTCTCTCAAGAAGGCATCCTTTCTTTCTTCATTTTATTTCTTATCGTAACTTGTCTCAGATGAGCATTTGAAAGCGTTTCCTTTTCCTAGAATAACATTGAAGATAAAGTTGAATTCCCTTTGTCAGTGTAACTAAAGTACTGCTTGCTTACCCTAAAACTGTTTCCAAATGGATTCTCCCTTATATATTGCCCATCATTTAATTTAGGTGTGACTTCCTGGTAACTTACACTTGGTCCAATTTGTTTTTTTTATTTGCAGAAAAACAGTACATGTTAGTTACCAAGTGTATTCTTCATTCTTTATGGAGAAATTGAACTGGTCTTATTTTGGAGATTTAAGATAGAGGCCTCAAATATATTTTCTTGAAGGAGGAATGTGATAGTAAAGAACCACAGATAAGGATTTTTAATAAAGAGCAGAAATAAGGAGAATGAAACAGGGAAATTTATTGAATAACAAAATACTGAAAGAAAACTAAAAATCACAGATAAAGGAAATCTCTCACTCTAACCCTTAGTTTTCAGTTTTAACAAACATCTTCTTAGTTCTGGCCCTAGTCATATTCTTTTGCAATTGGTCATCAAGTTGGAGTGCCTGAAACCTTGATGTTCGGAAATTGAGTGAATGTTAATTGGTCTTTCCAATTCAGAGACTAGAAACGCAAATTGTTATAATGGTCTCACAGGACCCATCTTGCAGATGCAAAAAATGAAGATCCTTGTATGATTATGAATTGATTTATTTTTACCTTTGACTGAATTACGAATCCATCCTCTTGACTTATTAATTACCTGACCTATACTGTGACTTCCAGTTACTGGTGGATTGGACTCGAGGAAGGAATCTTATTTTATCAAGTGCGGCTCCTTCTGTGTATGAAATTAGAGGGCCATATGATGTCATGAATTTAACATCTTTGCTTGGGCTCTCTGTTGAACGAGCTAAAGCAGCTCTTTCCAAGAACTGTAGGTATAGCAACTTGCATAAGGCAAAAACTCTTGCAGTTGTATAAGCAAGCTGAACTGATTAGGATCTTTTTGCCCCTAAATTTCTTGCAGGAATCTTATAGTTAATGCTTTAAAGAAAAAGCACTTCTACAAGGAAGCTATTAGGGTTGAACTAATATCATCTGATGAAAAATCTGACTCCAAGGGACCTTTATCTGCAGCCTGGCTTAAATGGGATCCCATCTCTAGTGGTGAAGGGGATTTGCAGCTAGAGGATATAGAAAAGTCTTTCACTGCCACCACTAGAGTATCCAATTCTGTTAAACCCATTGATTTTGTTTCAATTATTAACAGCATCCCATCTCATGGTGGAAATTTTTTGACTGCTGCTAAGACAGTTGAGGTACCTGCTAATGAGGCAGCTGAGATGCCATTTATGGCAACTGGAGTGTCTGAAAAACTTGGCAGCAATTCTCCGTCAAAGAGTAAGGCTTTTGATCGTGGAACCTCCCAAGAGTTACTTGTGCCTAGTGATGATTCAAAAACCTCAATTAATTCGGAGGATATTAGATTCCCTACAAACAACACTGATGAAGTGCCAAAAAATTTGAACAACTCAAATGCATTGCTTCCCCCTATTTTAACTCCAAAGCATGATTTGCAATCACAAAAGAACATCATTAGTTGTGAATTAAACACTGTGATGCCAAATGAGGATGTAATGCGTCAGACACCTTTAGAAATTGGGTTAGCAACTATTTGTGCTGCTGATAATGAAATGGAAAATATTTCTGAGAACAGAGACTTTCTTTCTCTTCATGTCGAAAAGTCTAGGAGTTCACAAGGTTCCGATGCAGTTTTAGGAGCACAAAATGTTGTGATGGGCAAAAACATGTCAGAGATGAGTGTGAGAGATCAGGAAGGTACATCTGTAACTGAAAATATATTGGGTAGAGAAGAACTCATGGAATCAGCTGATGATATGATAATATTTGACGGCAATGTTCCTTTTCTGTTTACCTCTGGTGATATGAAAGTTAAAGATAGCAAGGAGACTATGAAGGAGGCAGCAATGGAAGAGCAAGAGCATGGAGATGTAAATCTCGAGACATGCAAGGAGGTGGCAGTGGAAGAGCAAGAGCATGGAGATGTAAATCTCGAGACTTGCAAGGAGGTGGCAGTGGAAGAGCAAGAGCATCGGGATGCAGACCTAGATACCCCCAAGGAGGTGGCACTGGAAGAGCAAGAGCATGGAGATGTGGATATTCAAGGTGTTCTTGGTCAGGACAGTGGTTTTGATGTTAAACGTAGTTCTTCAGGTGCAAATTTTATGCTCTTGCAGGAGGTGCCAATAGAGGAACAAAAGCATGAAGAAGCTGATTCTGAAAGTAATTGTCCAACTTTGGTCTCATCCTTATCAGGTACCAGTTAATGTTTTAGCAAGAATGCTATGCTGCAGATAGGTTTTTCAATTGAATTTTAATTATCTTGACCGACAAGATAAAAAGCTCATTGTTTTTCTTTTTCTAGTAACTCATCCATAACTTTACCTTGGTATCAACTAATAGCCATTTTGTTCAATGTTTTATTTCTTCTCAACAATGTTTTGTATAAATAAACCTGAAGATATTATCCATGTTTAATTAGTGTTGCAAGTCATATACCACACTAATGCTACTCAAACTAAGCTTTCCTTGAAAAATAATTTGAGGTTTGTTTCTATCCTGAAGTTCATTGGTCTTGACAATATCCGCCAACTAATTGCTTATGAGAAGCGTCCGTCTCGTAAGCAATTAGCATTATTTGCAGGATATTTCTACACGCCTTCTGTTTAAATTTTCTTTCTCATCAATGCCTTGTCTGGAAACCTTAAAACAACGTATTCCAAACTGCAAGACTGGGCTTGTAGATGAATTTTCTCAACCTTGCTTTGTCTTTTTGTCTATTTAATAATTTTTCAGATATCATTCTATTCAATTTGAATTATGACTATTATCTTTTCTAAATGCAGGGAAAAACAATGGAAAGCACAGAGCAACTCGTCAACCTCTTTTATTTCCTCTGAAGCGTTTATTGAATCCCATCTCTTTCAAAAAGAAATCTAAGAAGTTTAGACATAAGAGGAAGGTGTGACAAAGTTTGGTTTTCTCCCTCCAAAATTTTTAGTCTTGGTTGGCTGTATAAAATGTAAAGCGAGTGCGCTTTAATGCTAATTGGAAGAATTCCATTATTCACCCATCATTCATGTCGATTGGTGGTGAAATTTTTGTCAACAGATTTTTCAGATTCATCTGCATTTGAAATTTTGGTCCCCATTATCAAATTTTACTTATTAGGTATAAAAAGAAATTTTAAGTTCGTTTTTAGTCATGGAAATGACCATATTGCGATGTTGACATGAGTTTTTTTATTTTATGATTTTTTTTTTTTTTTTTTTTTTTGTCTTCCCTCCAAAATTTTTAGTCTTGGTTGGCTGTATAAAATGTAAAGCGAGTGCGCTTTAATTGGCTAATTGGGAAGGAAATCCAATTATTCCAACCCATTTCATATCATTGTCGATTGGTTGGTGAAATTTTTTTGTTCAACAGATTTTTTCAGATTCATTCTGCATTTGAATTTTGGTTTCCCCATTAATCAAAACTTTTACCTTATAGGTATAAAAAGAAATTTTAAGTTCGTTTTTAGGGTCATGGAAAATACCATATTTGCGATTGTTGACATGGAGTATTTTTTATTTTATGATTTTTTTTTTTTTTTTTGAGTTAATTTAGACTTTCCCAACTGGAAAGATCGAACTTTTGACATTTCCAATCTTAAGATATGTCCACTAATCAAAGGCAAGTTTATTTTGGGGATTTCTTCTTCAAATTTAAAACATGAAATAGTTAATTTAAAAATTAACAGGAATTAAATTTTTTTTTTTTTTTTTTTGAGTTAATTAGACTTCCACTGAAGATCGAACTTTTGACATTTCAATCTTAGATATGTCCACTAAATCAAAGCAAGTGGTTATTTTAGGATTTCTCTCAATAACTATTTGAAATAGTAATTTAAAAATACAGAATTTAAAAATTTTAAAAAAATTTTATATAGATAGAAACTCCCTTTGGATGCCATTTGGACATGCTAACTTAATAGGCAGGTACTAAAATTATGATTTTTTTTTCCCCTTTTTTTCCTTTTCTTTTTTTAAGCTTTTAGAAAATCTTTTTTCCCCCTAAAATACAATGAACTTTTTTAAGATTTTTTTTTTTTTTTTTTGCATAACATTAAACCAATATGAGATATTAAAAAAATTTATAGTATGGATCATATAATTTATAATTAATTCCGTATATGAAACTAAGATTTGAAGTTATATTTTTTAAGCAATTGATTATGTCTTTTATGGATTTGACAATAAAATTTTAAAAAGCACAAATATGAAATTTTGATATTAAAAATTAAGGTAAGCGCTATAAATTCAACTATCAATCATTATATTAATGTGTTGGATTAGTTGTTTTGAAATCTAATAGATGATAATAACTAAATTCAAAAAAATTAAGTTTGATTTGTAATCTAATAGATCACAAATAAAATTAAAATTCAACTATTACAATTACATAAATTATAAAATAATTTTAGTTAAAAAAGTTGAGTTATGGATATTTTATAACTAATAATGTAGGAGTATAAAAATTAAATTATGAATATATTATGATAAGCAACACAATAAATTTAAAATATTATTTACATAATGATTTTATAAGGTAAATATATTTTTTTTAATTTCATTTTAGAAGCTTTAAATTTAATATTTTAATTATTTATGAAAAGAATATATCGATGAACTTCTAGCATTGATTTCTTTTAGATTAGATTGGCAAAATAAATTTTTTATTATAATAAGAAATATAATTAAATAATATATGAATAAGAAATTACCGATTTTATAGGTAACAAATTAGTAAATATTTTTAGATTTAATGGCCCACATTAATTAGTTTAAATTTAACGAAAGATAATTATTTCTGAATCTATACAGAATTTCTAGTCTTATCCATGCGAAACAAATATATAGAAACATTATCATTCTTGATATAGGCATAGCCTCTTAAGTAATTGGCCCTACAGCTTACTGCGTCTCATGTGCTAGCTTTTGTATTCCTTTCTAATTATATTTTTTTTAGAGCACTTGTGCTCTTCTGTTTTTATTATAATACTACTTTCTTTGTAGTGTGTCCATATTGCGATGAAGCAGAGCGGCTGCTGCGGTCCCCTTTTTGGCTTGATTTACCACCGCCACCAATCATCACTAGCAAGAAATGCCCTTTCCATATTGGTATGGCTTCCTTAGACTTCGCAACATTCACATAGCATCTAGTCAAAGGAATCAATTTCTATATAATATATAGTACCATTCATGAAATCCTGAAGCAAGTGGAAAACGTAAATTTATTCAATGATCCAACTGCAATACCAAACAGGGACTTAATGGGTGACCCTGCATGACATGACAATCATTATATTTCAAGTAGGTTAACTCAAAAAAAACCTTAACTTTGATGTTTTTTTTTGATAAATTTATCCAATATTTTTAATTTTGTTAATTATTACTTCAGATTTATTTTTCTTTATCGATTATAAGTCTTCATCCAGAGTCCGCTAATTTGTCGCTCATTTGACTGTTAATTGGGCCTATATTATGCCAACTCACATTCATGTGGTCATTCTTTGATCGTTCATCCTTGCTTTTAGAATCTCTAAATTGAAAAATTGCATTGTTCAGACAATCTCCATCTTATTTCTTCGTATGCTTGAAAATTTGGTACAACTTTATAATTAATAGACTTTGATAGATCCTTGGCGAGCAACTCGTAATGTTAGTAATTTCAAGATCCGCCAAGTAGGCTTTTTTACTCCCGAAGCTACGTTATTCGACCACAACCAATCGTACTTTGGACAAAAGCCAAAATTGACAATAAAAATAGATATGGTATTGATCAACGAAATTAAAAATATTGTATCAAATTTATAAAACGGGCAAAAGAGTTCTAACTTTTTTGGTGATTAAGCCTTTCAAGAATGCATGTTTTTTTCTCGGTTAAAAAGTAATAGCAAAACCCCATTCTACTTGTTGATTCTACTAATCTTCTAGTCTTTATGAAAATTATGAAACAATTTTTAAAATATCCTATTTTAGTTCATTCACTTGGTAAGTTATTTGTCTAAATCTTTCACTTGACGGATAGTTGTGCACACATTTGCTCTTATAAGACAAGTAGTGTTAAGGATTAATGCATCTATCCATAATCACATAATTAGAGTCTTGAAAGTGATTAAAAGATGATTATTTGTTTAATAAGGGAGGGGCCATGCAAAAACTTAGTGGGCAACCCACCGCCGGCCGACAAAAATCAGAAGCGCCGCCCTTCCCACCTCTATGGGTTCCCTCAAGAGACATAGCCTTTATCTAAAGACTAAAGTACCTGATTTAATTAATTAATTAATCATTTTAAAGTAAGTTTATAACTAGCATGAGCAATCAAATGATTAATTAATTAAATATTATTTGTTCTTTTCTTGCACAAAAACGGCCAAAGGAACACTTTAAAAGGAGCCTCATGAAAAATGAGATGCTGTTTAGCTTTTGTAGATACTAATAGATGGTAATAAATGGCCTTTATAATGTCTAAATTGTGATTATCTCATATATATAATACATGCATGTTTTCTATTCTCAAAGTTTGCTTAAGCAACAATAGAGCTTAATTAATAAATACTTTCATCCAAAATACATATTAGAGTAACGATGGACTCGTATTTAGTTTAGAGAACAGAAATATACACTTAACTTTATTATAATATTTTGAGTAACAAATAAAAGAGTTTACGAAATAATTTCATATTTAATTATCATAATTTTATAGAAGAGTTTATTAATTTTGAGTGTCGGTGCTCGTGTACGTCATTGGTTGGAATTAGTTTTTCTAGATGGAAGAAGTACAGTACGGTACCTATGATTCGTGAAATAAAATTAATTCGTCTTTGTTTTTTAGAAAATAGACTAAAATTTTCTTGTTGTTTACTTCCGTCGGATTATAAGTTACTTCTATCTAATTTTTACATTTTTTTCATTAAGTACGTTATGAAATGATGAAATGATGAAAGTACCTTGATATTTTCGTCAACACATAACACAAGCAAAAAGCCTTTGACAATGGCATACACTCCCAACCCATATAAGCATAAAATGTGCAATGACTTGCAAGTTAATTGCAAGAGTGCAATACATGATAGTGACTATTACCTTAACCATTTAGCTTTCCTTCTTTCTTTCTTTCTTTCTTTCTTTTAGATAATGACTTTGTTTCCATCTTTTTGAGCTATATTGCTGTTCAATCACAATAAAGTAGGTATCTCTTCATTTCAAAATCTTAGTGAGTCTCGGATATAAAGATTAAGCATGCAATCAAAATTTTTGCATATGCTTTCCAGATGTCTAAGTTTATTTAGTCCGATAGACAGTTAGCCATAGTGATTCACGAATCATAATTTTAATATCAATTGTGGAGAATTTATCTCTTTGGTTCAAACTCGTGAATTCGCAAGAATTATTTATGGAATTGAGACATATTTTATTAGTCTGAATCACTTCATAGTAGATAAAAATTTAATATTAATAGAAATTAAATCATTGTTTTTAATATTAAATAACAAATGGTGTTAAACGAATGCGATTAAATCTAAATACTTTTTGGGATTGATCCAATATTATTGGACTAAAACTTAGACAATACAATTGTCATCATAATCAACTCAACTATATAAGAATCAGAAACAAACAAACTATATTTACATCTCCTACTTCCAAGCTAAATAACACTTCAAATTGCATGATAATAATAATTATTATTATAATTATAATATAATAGCTAGCTAGAATTAGAAAAATATACTAGGAAACTAAAAAAAAGGATTTAGCACATGTAGCTACAACCATCCAGCTAACCCTTTTTACAAGATTAATTATGGAATTGAATTTGCTGAAAATGCATCCAGAAAATCACTCCAATTATCATCATAATCCTCATCTTCTTCCCCACTTATATTGCTCCATTGAGCTTGAGGATTTTTCTCAATTTCATCATTTCTGGCAAATCGACCTCTGATTCGAGGCCTGCTATCCGCCAACGTTTTCCGACACGCGTACTGAAATGAAAAATAAAAATCAATAATAATAATCTTAATATTCTAACCTAATAATGAAGAGAAGACTGAATAAAAGCAATAATATCATAATCATTTTCATTTGGTGGTAGTTCCAAATCAATATATTCTTAGACATGATTATATTGGGAGAAAGAAATATTTATTATTTTACATTTGAGTAATATCAGAAAAGCCAAGATTATATAATTAATTAATTAATCTATGGACTTTATTAAACATATTATTAGTCACTTATTGAGGAGCTTCAGTCCATAAAATTCAAACAACTATCAAATTGTGTCACTTACATTTTCTATATCTTCACAAAAGTTGGATTTGACATAAAGCATCTTCTACTGCAGGAAATTACACCAACTTGTTCTTACACACTACTAATTATACTAATAACCAGTTAATTACATATTAAAGAAATATTAGTAAGTACTAATTTTATTTTCCAAGTTTTTTTACGTACACTCGATTATTAAATTATTAGCGTAATGATATATTTTCGAAGTTTATTAATTTGAGATTTTAAATTGATGACCTTAATTTTCTTGTTGAAGTTCCTTTGAGTCCTCTTGCTTCTGTACCTCTCAATTCTCTCTTTCTTCTCTTCTGGACTGTATTTGCAAGCTTTGCTCATACTTTCAATTATCACACTGCTCTCACTTGATAATGGACTGTCTGCCTTATGCCCATGCTGCACCACATTAAACCCAAATCTTTTAAATATATATATATATATAAATTCAGATATTTTTCTGAGCCTACAAATTTACCCAAAAAAAAAAAAATGCAATAATGAAATTTCTTTCTTATAATACAAAAATAAAGTTCTTAACTTTCTTTTTTCTTCATTTGAGAAAGAAAAATAAATGAGATATTAAATGTCTCGAGAGACAATAAAATTCGATTCTTTCTCGTCACAAGAGTTTTCGTGAGTTTGACGAATCAATTGGGAAAATCACATCAAATATTTTAGAATAATGTTTTCAACAAATTATAATTTAAATTGATAAGTTTAACTGGTAAAAAAAATAAATAATTAATTAAGTGAAAATATTAGAATTACCTGCAAATCACCGGTGCTAAAAACTCTTCTAACAGGGCAGGTGTCCAAGTCGAGGAAATCCTGAGGACAGGTGAAATGACAATGGTACCCGTTCTTTTGAAGAGAATGACTACTAATACTCCTCTGGATCAAACTCGTTTGCTGATTCGTTCCACAACTAGCGAGCGAACTCGGCGAACTGTAGCTACTGCACCCACTGTTAGTACTGCTACCAAAGTCGAAGCCTCCTCCTGCCAGCTGGTCCGGTACGATTAAGTGAGCTGGCGGCAGAAACTGGCCCGATATCAGTGGGGATGGGGCAGCACCTTCTGGAGACGGTGGATAGTGGCCGAGAACGAAGTCGGCGCGTGAAAATGTTGTGTTACTATGACCGTACATGGCGCGTAGAGCTTTTTTTTTTTTTGAAAAGAAGAGAGAAGAAGGTTTTTAAGAGCGAAGACACTGAAGCTAAAGGGCCTGCAGAGCTAAAGTACTTATAACCGTGGAAGCTCCAGAGGAAAAGCGCAAACGAGCTGGATGCTGACGTGGACATGACGTCATGTTTCAGAGTGCGTTGACTTGCCTATTTTTCATTTTTTGTTTTTTTGCCTCCATTCCACTTCCGTTTCACACTCAATGAAAATTTTAATTTTAATTCTTTATTTTGCCTAATTTAAATTTGGGTAGTGTCAAGTTGTAATGATGTGGTAAATGACAAAGCCAATTGATGCTAATTAATTATAATGACTTCTTGAAAAGAACTTGGTCATGACAAAATAACGAGTCCAAATGTTGATCCTGTACAAGTAGAATTATAAATAAATTCACATTATTTTTAGAATAAATTATATATAAGATTAATTTTTTAAAAACTCCATTAATGTTAATATAAATAATTTATTTATTTTTAATTAAAATGTACAAGTCAATTGATTGGGTTTTGACAATATTGACGTATATCTTCATAAAATTAACTCTAGTTCATTCTAAAATATGTAATTCCTTTATCCCATTTTATTTGCATGGTTGGACAAAATACACATATTAAATATTCAATAAATAAAAGTTATTTTATCCTTTTTTATCCTTAACTCATTAAAGATATTAATGAAAGTCTTTTATTTAACGAAAAATCATAAAGGTTATCATGGAAAAAATAATTATTTACATATTTAAATTTAGAAATCTTACAAATATTTTGGAATATCAAAAAAATAATAATAAGCAAACAAAACGAGACGGAATGAATATTTTTTTAGAAGATTATAAAATATATTAGCTAGCAAGTAAAAAACCATAAAAAAATTATTTTTCAATTTTCTTTTCTTTTTCATTTATTTTTCAGTAATAAATGATGGATTTTGAATTTAAATTTATATTTAAATTTTATATGTATTTATTGTCATACTATATCTATGAGTGTAGTTATATGAGCCGTTTGAGATTCAATTCGATAAAAGTTAACTTAAGCTCAATCAATAAATTTATTAAAGAGTTTGTTTAATAAATGAATCAAACTCAATTTCGGTTTATAGTTCATGAGCCGACTCAAGTGTCCCTTTTATCCAATTGAGTCCAACTCGTAAAGTTAGTTCAAAAAGTTAAAATTAATTAAATTAATATTAAAATGAGCTCGTTTTGTTCTGATACATGTGGAACTCGAACTCAATCTACGGAAATTGGATTGATTTACGACAAAAAGTGCGACTTTATCACTTTAAAAAAACGCAACGAGAGGAGAATACATTAGCCGCTACAAAAGTTTTAATCGAGAAATGAGGTTACATACGGCTAGAATCAAGCCATTGAATATATATATATATAATATACTTGCAACCATTAGTTTTGGGGAACAGTCCGATTTGGATTGAAATTAGACCAAGAAATGTTTCGGCTGAAATTAATTTGTATATTTCGATTTTGAATCGAACCGAAATAGAAGAATCCATTCAGATCCCAGTCTCTGATCCCTTTTTTAGTCCGGGGATATCAAATCGATTTCCGTTCCAAATTATATATATATATATATATATAGAATATATTATATATTAATATACTTGCAACCATAGTTTTGGGAAACAGTCCGATTTTGGATGAAATTAGACCAAGAAATTGTTCGGCTGGAAAATTAATTTGTATATTCACGTTTTGAATCGAACCGACAATAGAAAGAAATCCATTCAAAATCCCAGTTCTCTGATCGCCTTTTTAGTCCGGGCGATATCAAATCGATTTCCGCAAATTATATATATATATATATATATAAAATAAAAAAAATAAAAAATAAAAACAAAAAAAGACAGAAGATAGAAAAGGAGAGGAAAGAGCCGGGGCAAAACTGGCAGGCGTTTGTCAAGCTTGAAATCCTGGTCCAAAATCATCTGAAACGAATTAAGACTTGACTTTGAAATTGCTAAGTTCTTTTAAGCCTTCTGTCAGGAGTGTTAGGTTTAAATCTTTCAATGACAGTTAAAAAAAAAAAAAAAAAAAAAAAAAAAAAAAAAAAAAAAAAAAATCAAACCGAACTACATCATCAACTGTAATTAAACCAACCAAATAATCGACATGATTTGGTTCAGTTTAGACTGTTTGTAATTGTTCATATATCCTGTAAACACATTTTATATATGAAAAAAAAAAAAAGTTAATTTGCATCTGTATTTTTTTTTTAACCTTGCCAACAAATATAAAGAAATAAATTTGTACATGATATATACTAATATAATTTCTATAGATAACATTTATATAATTTGCCTAACTATAATTTATTTGCTATCCGATATATACAATTCAATACAATGGATTCTATTTTAAAAACACTGTAATTTATATTTATTCTAGTCTAAAACATTCAAAAAGAAAACTTCAGATTTTATGTTTTATAATAATTACATCTTAAATCCAACTTAACCCTTCAGACTCGAATTTTCTTCTTCCTCTCCTTCTTCACGTGCATCATACAATAGAGGCTTACTGTCTCTCCTTCTCCAATTGAACTTCGACCATCATTTGACAAGAATAAGGTAGTAAAATACTCCTCTTGTTGTGGTAATTGTATTTTCAGTCATCATTTGGTTGATTGAATTCTTATTTTTGCTGACTAAAAAATTCAAAATTTGTTCTTTTAAAGTTTTTTGATTGGGTTTTGTAATTCTGACGATAATCCTTCTCAAAATAAGTTTGAATTCATAGTTTTTTTATGAACAAAATTTATTTTATGTTGACTTAACGATTTGATGGAAGAATTTTATAAAATTCTGATAGTACAACTGGGGTTCTCACGAAATTCCGATTGTTTTGATATATAATAAACAAATTTCTAGGTTGGTTCAATTTTTCGATCGCCATCCACGATAGCAGCCCTTACAAAATCCAGTTAAAATTTTAAACTTATACATTGACATCACAAGCAATAAAAGTGCATTTAAATTTTGACTCTATGACATCAATAAAATTAAAATTTTTTAATAGTTATTATAGTTCTTTCACTTCATATGCACTGTGATTGTGCCTGATACAAATTATGCAAAAATTTTTTTGAGAATAATTAATTATATTAAATTAATTAAATTAAAATCCGTTGATGAGACTATATGGTGGCATGAATTTAAATTATTCCTTTCGAAAGCCATATGTTTAATTAAAAATAAACCCATGTGCAAATATTTATTAATTATTTGATCAATACATAAATTTATGGTTCCTACGACCAGCATATGTGATACATATAGGGCTTTATTTGCCTTTAGGGGCTTATGATCCCAACGTCCATAGACAAAAGTGAAGAGATTCTTATAGAATAATCTCAACTTTGGAGACAAACTTGCTTTGTGAAATTGTTATTCTAATATCATTGCAATGATTTTGTGAACCAATTGGCAACTTCACTTGCAAATTCAGTCAAACGATATTGAAATATCTAATGCACTTTTCAATATGCTCTCGTGTGTGCATATATATATATATATATGCTCCATTAAAAATTATACATTTTTAAGTTTCAAATTAGTTTAAAAAATATATTTTTTAAACTAAAATATATTTTTAAACTAATTAAGTGGTGATCTGATTAGTCTTTTTATTTTATGAGGTTTGAGAAATCTTAAGTTCGAGTTCTTCTTCGGACTGCAATTTGTTTTCCAACCAACATGGTAGTCAAGGAGAGAAGCCTCCAATGTGAATTAAAAAATAACTTCTTTAATTTTTATAAGTACATTCAATCTCGATAATGAATTATATATTATATTATATATATATATATAACTTATATATAACTTGTTTGAAAAATACCTTTTTTTTTTTTTGCACACCAAGACATAGCCTATTAGTAAATGTATATATGGTCTGGTAAAAGATCCAGATTCAAATCCTCCTCCATGTTACTAAAAAAAATACATTTTTGATGTTATATTATGACTCATCAAACCTATTTTAATTATTAAAATCAGAAGATATGAAAAAGAAATATGATGCCCAACTTGCATAAGTTTGACAACAAATAGAAGGATACCCCACCACTTTGGTGAGTTTACAGCAAGAGAGTATTATATAGTACATACCCATGTGGAGAGCATTTTTGTTTCAATCATACACAATAGGTTAGGGATGATTGTATTATAGTTAGGATTTTCTTTAAAAACATCATTAATTATAATCTCATAACTATAATTAATACAATAATTAACATAGTGGAGTAATATCTCTCAAATAAGGGAAGCATACAAAGGAGTAAGATCTTACTATAATTAATAGTAATCATCACCATAATCATGATTAGAGTGATACGATGGAAACTAATTTGCTGATTTGGATTAAATCCCACAATTACTTGGATATTTCCCAAAAGTAAATTACTCCTTACACCAAGCTAATCAACCAAAGGTTTTTTTTTTATTACCAATAAAAATAAAGTATTTTTTTTAAGTTGCTTTTGTGTCATTGAAATAAGATAGTAAGTATTTTTTATTTTATGTTTATGATTTATTATAAATGATTGTTTATTTATTTGAAATATTAATGTATTACTTTACTATGTCCTAAGCATGTCGATGTCCTACATTTTTTAAAATTTATCTTATCCCATTTCCATGCAATATAACTCTTGATATATGAAACTACTCTATACACCGACCTTATCAACCAAGATTTTTTTATTACCAATAAAAAATGAAGTGTTTTTTTTTTAATTTATTTTTGTGTCATTGAAATAAGAAATTAATTTTTTAATTTTGTGTTTATAATTTATTATAAATGATTGTTTATTTATTTGAAATATTAATGTATTAATTATTTAGTTTACTGTGTCCTAAGCGTGTGGATATCTTACCTTTTTTAAATTTAAAAATTATCGTATCTCGTATGTTCTTTTATCTCGTTGTTCTATGTCTTGTACAACCTAACTTCCTGGTATATGAGGCTTACTCCAATTACACAAGCCTAATCGATTAAGCTTTTTTTATTTACCAATAG